CACCCTATTGGCATATTCATCGCCCTGATGACGGAGGCAGTATGACCTCTGAAACGTTGGTTAACATCGACCAGACTACACAGCGCAACAACCCAGAAGACGGAAATATTCGTTTTACTACTTATTAACTAATTCCGCAGTGCAGATTCTATTTTGAGAAGGTAACAGTCACTTGCTCCCATCTTTTATAGAACATAATAACACAGCAAATCCTACTCGAATGCGGATGCAATTATATACGTGAAAATAAATACGAACAATTATTTTCCAAATGCAGAAAATTAGTTCATATGAAATATATCAAACATGCACATGTATTTGTGTAACAAACTTCATTTGTTTTATTCAGCAATTGTATGTGCATAAATATTAAACTCAACTGTCATCGCACAATTTCTTTCTTCTTTCTTCCTTCACTCTCTCATTATCTCACCCAGGGTCTCAGCCTTGCTTACGCTGTTACTGCGTTAACTTGTGTCATACTGTTTTCCCATATTTTACTGTTTTTGACATTGCCCTTGGATAGCAATATGAAATCAAAATGTAAATGTGAAAGTGAAAATGAAACAAAGACAAGAATAAAGATAAGTTGTGCAGTGATATGAGTGCAGCAGTAGTTCGCCTAACATTCTGCTGATATTTTATTTTAAAGTCTATCTTCCAGCTGTTATTTTACTTTAATGTTTAACTTTCTGATGGTCAAATGCAGATTCAATGAATGTGCCACTTTTGATAAATGTGTCCCTCATGTCAGAAAACAGATAACTATACTGTATACACAGCAGGAAACCAGCATCTAAATACTAGCAACATCAGATCACAGCAGCCAAACAGAACCTGGATCACTGACTCAATCAGCTTCTTAGCACAGAAAGGGTTAATGATTTCTTAAGCCTGCCACAGAAACCTACTTCAGTCCAATTCACATTCTCACTACACATTTCTCTGAGGCCCAGTTAATATTTTCCTCCCATCTCCTGTTTTCTGAGTGACGATACACATAATACAGTGGGCATGGAATATGTACCCAACAGTTACCCCACAAATATCCAGCATACTGATTTCTCCAACAGCAGCATCTGTTATCTTGTAAGACTTGAGGTTCTCACAGCGGTGAGTATGAAGATTTCCATCTTCTGGGTTGTTGCGCTGTGTAGTCTGGTCGATGTTAACCAACGTTTCAGAAGTCATACTGCCTCCGTCATCATATTCATCGCCCTGATGACGGAGGCAGTATGACCTCTGAAACGTTGGTTAACATCGACCAGACTACACAGCGCAACAACCCAGAAGACGGAAATCTTCATCTCTTATCTTCTTGTACAACTATCCTAATTATAAAAAATCATGAAATTCCTTTCATGATATTATTGAGAACATACAGAGTTAAGAGCAGGTGCCTTCTCCCCCTTCAACCTCATGCCCAGCCTGCTTGGAGTGATGCTATGGCTGGCCAATCATATATGTGTATAATTAATTAAACCTTCTGGCATGGTAAGCTACGTCAGGGCTAGTAGAAGGATGAAAGGTGTTCAAGAACAATCATCAATTATTTAAATATGTGCTGCCATGACCAGTAAGCAAAGTGCTGAAGCAGCAACAAGCAGTGTGCAATGAAAGCTCAGTTTGGAGTCTATGTCAGCTGAGTGATCTGTGACTCTAACCACCCACCTCCCACCAGCCTAACCTATTGAAAATCTAAAACAATAACTAAAGTATTAACCATTTATTTGGATGGTAATGTTTAATATTTTAGTACGGTCTTCGAAGGTTGAAGGAAAATTAAGATGCAAAACTCATATCCTCTGCATTTACTTTTTATCAGATCATGTTAGTGGTTTTGTTATGGTCTTAGTTTTTCATTACATTAAGTTGGTTATTTAGTTTTGGGTTTAGTATGGCACAGTTACAATATATGGCGCTGACCACATGCTCAATCACATTGGGCTTTAAGAACACCATGACAACACATGAAACTGCCTCCTGTTTGGTCACATGAGCCTCACTACAATTTACACAGGGTCTACAATTTATGAGGCTCCAGTCGTGCTTGGATTGTGTGGTCGGTCGGCGCTCTGTTGATGTGGGTAGGAGTTGTGTGCGTTCTTCCAGTGGGTGACCAGCGAATCAGTTTCAGTGCCACTAGTAACAGCGAACTACGAATATTTCTTGTCACTAATACATGTTATTACATTAATTGTTCTTACCTTAAATCACAAAAGATGTTCAAAGTGACTTCCTTGTGCTTGCAGACAAGCTTCACATCTCGTTCGCATGTTTCAAAATACTCGACGAAGCTCTTCTTGGGAAATTGCCGAAATTAATTGTCAAATATTTTAAGTGCTTCTGCAGTGTGCGGATTGTTTACATTAACTTGTTCTTCAGCATGCCCCACAGGTAAAAATCGCACAGGTTTAAGTCTGGGGAACGCAGAGGCCACTGAACTTGCTCACCAAACACTTCTCTTAATGCTAACATCGACCAATCAGCTGTGTGAACTGTAGCATTGTCTTGCTTGAAGAAACCATAAGTCTTTTCTTCATCGGTTATTTCTTGAAAAAGTGTCTAAGTATTAAATTTACATAACGTTTATCATTTATCCGCATACTGCAGACGCACTTAAAGAAAATATTCGACAACTGATTTCGGCAATTTCCCAAGAAGAGCTTCGTTGAGTATTTTGAGACATGATAACGAGATGTGAAGCTTGTCTGCAAGCACAAGGAAGTCACTTTGAACATCTTTTTCTGATTTAAGATAAGCACAATTAATGTAATAATATGTATTAGTGATGAGAAATATTCGTAGTTTGCTGTTACTAGCGGCACTGAAACTGATTCGCCGGTCACCCACCAGAAGAACGCACACAACTCCCGCCCACATCAACAGAGCGCTGGCCGACCACGCAATGCAAGCATGACCGCAGCCTCATAAATTGTGGACCCGGCACTATGGAGATGCAAAATTTTTGACCTCGAACACAGTCATATTTTATATCAGATTATGGCATGATTGTTGACAGCTTTTCTTTGAGAGCAACAGAAAAATTCAAAATTTGTAATTAGAAATCATTGACACACACCATGTGTCTGTATTATCTCTTCTGGTTAGCTGGTTTTTGTATGTTACAGTAATTCTACTGTGAGAGGGGAGGTGAAAAGAAAAAGGAGCTACTTCCTTGCCCTCTTTAAATATATGTTTTGTGTATTACATGCACCCTAACTTTAAAACAAATAATTTTAAAAGAAGAACTGCATGTTATGCATGAGTAAATATGGTAGCTTAAACTATTAGCTATTACAAACCACAGGTTCAATATTATCATCAAACCAGCTTGCCACTGAACCATATCTTTGGCCAGCCACATCTAGTTTGTAACTCCCTTCCCTAAAATCCATCTAACCTTATCCTTCCACCTGTTCCTAGGTCTATCAACTGATGACTGTTTTAAAAAAGCTCATCTAACATATCTTCCAAATTTTTCCTTCACAAATTTGAGGGAGTTTAAATACAGGTTACACAGTAATGAGCCACAGAATAATTCTTGGGACTAATGATCAGTCAATCCTTTAACTCAACATTTTCATTAAACTCAGGAATACCCTGTTAGACTTCAGTCTATATTGTTTACCACGTGTCAGATAAAAACCTAGCATCCTAAATATGACAATATATTACTGTACAAACTGCATTCAAAGTACTATGAAAAATTATAAAAATATGGTAAAAAATATCTTGGTTGCTGAGCCTTAAAATAGGGTAGCTAGGTTAGGAATAAATGTTTAAGTAGCCTACTGCATACACATATAAAGGGAAGTAAAGTACTTTCAAAACATTCCTTTTAAATATGTCATAATACTACAGATGACGCGTAAAAACGTTTAACAGTTCTCCTATGAAAATGTTCTGTGATTATACATATGTAATTCTAAAACAAAGCCATCAGCGAAAATATCTAAAACATAACAACCATGAATACTTGTCTCTGAATTTATACCTTACTTACAATTACTTCATCTAAATGTTGTGATTCAATCCCCTTAACCTATGACTACTACTAGCCCTAACACTAAATTCCAATAAAACACACTAGTATTATAAGGATATACCACAATAAGAATATTTTTTTTAAAGACACAACATAAATTATACTGCTGATTTACTATTTGATGTACTAGCTCACCGTTTCTATCAGCTTGCGGAATTCAAGTAATGTACTCTTATCCTTGATTTCCCCTGATGCAATCCAGCTCTTGATTTGGTCACGTAACCGCTGCAGTTTCTTGATCTCCTTCTTGAGATCAGCCTCATATTTCTCCTTTTGGTTGCTGTTTGTTGCATTGTGTACCTTCTGCCAGATGTCTTCAAATGTCTCCACCCCCTCTGTCACTTTCTTAAGACATCGGTCTATTTCTCCTGAAATAGTAACAAATTAAAGCACATTTAAGTGTTGCACTAATTACCTGCTTTCAGAGCTGTAAGTAACAGCCCCAAGCCTAAATAGCAACTGCAGTTATACGTTTTTAAAGTTCCAAACACTGTTCCAAGAATATGAATATGCAATGTTTTCTATCATATTACAACAGAAATCCTAGGTCATAGATGCGTGATAACTATATAACCACAACAATCAGACCGAAATGAAATAATCTGTCACATATGGCATAGTTTTTGCCACTGTGCATAACAATAATGCAGTGTAGGCTATAAAACACAACATAAACAAGAACATAAAACTTGCTTTTGAACCAAAGTTCGGTTCCCACACCAATATGAAGTTATGATAAATCACACTGATGTGTCTAATTATTTCTCAACACCTTTAGCACTTCACTTATTGTTATAAGTACAGTGTACATACGCTTAGAAACAAGTAAACAGGTCGGTAGGAGGTCATATATTAACCGTATCCTTCTGACATATTTTCTTACCTTGCAGCTTTCGTGTAGCAGCCATGGCTATGTAAACATGTGGTACAATAATTCGTGCATAGTCTAAATGTACAGATTTATAGCACAATGCGAATGTAAACTTATAATATTTTGGTAAATTTTATACAGGTGAAGCTTTTGTTCATATGCAAGATGGCCACCTTCTCTCACGGACGACATACAACCCCTAAATAGATATCCATCCGCTCAGAGAAAAACTAAGAAGTATATAAATTAGCATTTGCCCAATAACTGGAAGAATGTGTAGTTTTAAAATATAAACAATCAGATTTTATAATTTAACGTCATTATTACAGGGTACTGGTCATTCAACATTTTATTTATCAAGGCAAGTGTTAAAACAGCTACATTTAACCAATATTTTGTCTACATGCGCAACACCTCGACATTGCGCAGCCTCGGCATCACTACGAACCATAAACAAATGACAATCACCAATATCAGCTGATCGAAATGCGCATTGCATCGTAAGTACATAAAATAAAGACATGTAATTGACATAGAATATGGTTTAGACTATCACACTTTATCAGATTATTAGGGTAATAGTAATTTTGGATGTTCCTTTATATGGCATAACAATAAATATTTATGTTGTGTTTGAAATGTAGCCGGGAAATCCATGTTTTCGAAATACGACTGTCATTTATTTGTTCTAGTTTCAGAAATGTCCACAAGCGCCACATGTAATGTTGTAAACAATATGGTGTTGTAAACAGTTTCCTTTTAATGTGAAGTTGAGATTTTTTAATTTTAGTCGTCCTGAAAATTGTCTTTCAGACTCCCAAATCCAGATAATATGTTACAGACAGCGTACACTACTAGCAAACCTCATTCTGATAGACTGTATGTACTACTTTACGTATTTGTAAGCTTAACTTTTGGTGTTTAAATTAAATTATAAATAATTATTGTCAGTTACTTAACAAAAGTTATTCTTAGAGGTGCAGTATCGGTTTTCGTCCTTATTATATTCCATGGATCTATAAGTTAGTCAGTTGACAGTAGGATGTGGAATATATTGTATTAATAAAATACATATTATAACTAACTAAGTAGATGGCTTACAGAACCCAAGGATTCATCACCGAATTCACCAATGCCCTCCACCGGACGCTGTCCTGGGCCAACAGAATCCAGTCTCCTTCATCTCCTATCTCCCATAGATCTCACCTGACATCCTCCCATCTATGTCACCCCTTACATATAGTAGGTAAATTACACTACACATGAAGACAAGGAAACCTTACTGAACATATGTATGTTTGTGAACATTAGAAATTCATCTACTAAGCAGAAGGAGTGTGTAATGAAGTATCTTTTTAATGCTACTATGTTTTGTGTAATTTTATTTGTAAGACTCATTAAACTTTATGGTAAACTGTTGACAATTTTCATGCATGTATAATATGCACTTTCCTGAATTGCTCTGTGAAGTTGATTCTCAGTTCTTGTGTTGACACTGTGTATAGCAGAATTTGTTTGAAAATGTTCTTGGATATATATGTCTTTTCATAGGGAGGAATATCCTTTTAAACAAACTAAAATGAAGTGTATAATTTGAAAGGGCAGCATATATCTCAGAACAGCATTTGGTAATATAATATTGATTTTATTTGATGCCCCGAGGCTTCAAATTGCCTGTTTAGTTTCAGAGTCACAAAGAGAAGGAACATTTTAAAAAATTTAAATATTCAGCATCAGAATTGCTGGAAATAATGGGAAGAGAAGAAGGGTTAAAAATATAACACAAATAATGACAAGGGTCTCCATAATAATTTGTGGTTGTGATAAAATATTCTCCATCTCTAATTTGGGTGACATTTTGGTCATTATTTTTACATTTTTATAAGAAGGGCTTAAGTCAAATGTACTGACAGAAGCATTTCTTACCAAACACCAAAGTATGTAGTAACTTGAGTTAGTTTTGTTCTCATACAGGTCTAGTACATGTGCAGTACTGTGCCAAAAGAAGGACAAAGATAAACCTGACCTTCAACTAACTGGCTCTCAGGTGAAAGTAGTCTGTTATTACCCTAGGGTATTTAATGAAATCTGAAGGTTTCTGATTATAGTGCATTATAATCTCTAAAAGTGGTATTTTGGACTTTGTCCATCATCTATATTTCAAGGAAATTACAAAGATTTTAAAGCTGCATCTCATGTCTTCATGTGGGGGGTTTAACAGAAACCCTTGCTATATGGTTTCCAGGTTGAGCCCCGAGGTCTGAGGCTAGCTCAGTCAGGGGTCAAACAGCTAGAGCTTGTGTTCTCCAACTTCTTTTTATCTTGAAGATGAAAGAATATCCAGCTTCGGAAATGTCATAATTTCAATGAAATGTAGATGTTGGACAAAGTCCAAAATTCAACTTTTACAGATTACTTTGTTCAAGTTGTAGAAATAAATAAATGCTACCTATGTGTAGTTTGCTTTTATAGTCATCAAATATGCAGGGTGATGTTATGTTATGTTATGGCTAGATGTTGCTTTCAACTCTTAATGACTGCCATGTAAAATGCACATGTTTAAAATACTTCCTTGCTGTTTAGTGCAACATATGATAATTTGAAACAGATTTCATTTTAATATATAGTTTTTAGGATTATGTTGATAATGAAATATGCAATACAAAAAATGTATGTGTATAAATCCTATAAACCCCTCAGAGAACCGTGGAGTTCTTTTAGAACAACTTACTGTAGTTTGAGGACAGTGAATGTAAAGTTTCTTATGAGTATTCCTATTTAGAGAGGTAAACATTTCTGCAGCGGACTGGCAACATAAGTTGACTGAAATACTCATGTAGATTTAGACTTCTGTTTTAATGAGAGATTTTTCAGAAACTTATTCTCTACAGATGATGTAAGTCACACAGATGGAGATAAATGAAACTTCCACAGAAGACATTCTGTTCCCCTTGAATTTGCATCAGGTGTACCCAATTAATGCATAATACCAGGAAAGGCAACAGTGTACAGAATTCAGTTTTTGTTTTGTCTTCATTATTATTTGTATGCTTTAATGAATATTATGACTATTCTTTCTTAATATTTTGTTAATTTAACTTTGTACTAACATTTTCAGATTCGTCTTACATGTCGTCCAAAACTGAATATTGGAAAAGCAAGTTCCCGTTTTGTGCCTGTGTTTAATAATCATGTGAAACGACCAATGTCTGCTATGTCTACATTTGGGCATCAGGTAATGTGCCAAGCAGTTGCAGTTGTCATTATCATTATATTCATTAGATAATTTTACTGTCTGTCCCGCTTTCAAATATAAAATATTTTAATGTTTAATGTGAACTTTAAAATTTAAATGTATATGTGGACATTAAAATATTATTACATTATTCTTATTATATTAAAATTGTTCTTATTATTATTTTGTGGCCTACCTGGATTTATTTTACTTTAAGTATAATCTCCTTCTGAACCTTTCAGAGAAGTGTTCATGATACAGTTCCACGTGCATTCCTAAACTTATGAAGTTTCATATTTGTATAATTGTATTTATTTTAGCCAGTAATCATAATAACATAAATGGAGAAAACTATCTCAATATTTGTTCAGGCATTTTATTGTTGATAACAATTTTAACTCTTCTAGCATCTTTCCTACTAGATGGAAGAACATTTCATTTGCTGGTAGAGAGTTTCATATTGTACCATTTGGCTGTTTCACTTAAATTGTATATACATCTGTGTAAGTTATTTTCATTGTCTGCTGTTATGACTTGATCATCCTCATTAAACTAACTAGATGGTTTAGGGAACTCGAATGTTCATCACCGAATTAACCAAAGCCCTCTACCGGTCCCTGTCCTGGGCCAGAAAATCCAATTGCTTTCAAATCCTATCTCCTGTAGATCCCCCCTGATATTATCCTCCCATCTACGACTAGGTCTCCCCAGCAGTCTCCTCCCTTCAGTCTTCCCGACAAACACCCAGTGCACACCTCTTGCCCCATCTCTGCATGCCACATGCCTTACCCATATTATTCTTCTTGACTTAATCACCCTGACAATATTTATAGATGCTAAATAGATATTCCAACATTTTTAGAAACCATCTTAAATAGATCCATCAATACCTGTTTTAATTTGTTTAAATAATATGTTCTGTCCATTACACAAATTGGTTATTTCTCTGATATAACCCATACCACATTCACAAAAGATGCATTAACTGCTTTAAATACAGTGAATGGCAAAGTTATGCGTATAAAATATGAGGGTAATGCACAGTGACTAATTTGCTAATATGAAAATCCATATAATTCTCCATTTTCATGTTTTATTTTCTCAGTTTTTTCTACCTCATTCTATAGTAGCAACAACTTTGTTGATACATACATTTGGTTTTATTCCTTAGAGTTCAATATTACATATTTTGAAATGCAGAATTTTTGTTTATCAGGATAGCCTTTATAGTAGACAGTCAGCAGGATGAAGTTTGTTTAAGTTTTTGTATATATTTTCCTTCTAGGCTGTACGTGGGCATAGTGAAACATGTAATGGTGGGTGGAAGCGACCCCACTCTGCCAATAACTCATATTTTTCTGGAGGTGACCATTCAGTATCAAGTTCAACAACATCTGAATGTGTTGAAACATCAGGAAGAATTGCATATGCACAATGTGATGATACTTATCATAGGAATAAGGTTCCTGCAAAATTTCCTTTGTTAGGTGAAAATCTTCATAATTGTGCAACTGAAAAAGAACTTCCTGACAGACAGACAGATGATAATGTAACAGGTTAGTGTCTGCATCACAGACCATGAAGGTACTCTCATATTTACCTGATTTTAATACCATTTCATTTGTAATAGGTAAACCTGATATGATAGTTTATATAATAATATCAACTGGATCAATATACTTTTATACTGGTGTCACTTTATATATACACACACCATAATATCAGCATTATTGTATTTGTACTGTAATATTAGTAGTATTGATGCCCTTTTCCAAGCATGCTTATGGGAACTTCTAAGTGGTGCCACATAGAAGCAGTAATGGCATTACAGCACGTCTGTTTCTTGTCCTGCAGCAGATGTGTAATGGAGTTTGAAGATTAAATTATCCTTCTAGTGTTATCATCTTGTGTCAAGGTTTAGGTTGTCACCTGTTTCTGCTTCTCTATATCTTTCTCAGTCATCCTGGGTCTCTCCTCCCTATAGGTTGATAATTCAGGACTTCTTTTGTCAGTCTTCCACCTTCCACATATTTCACATTGTCATTGAATTTCTCTTGGCACTTTGTTTCTTTCATTTAATGCTTCTGGGCCTGTGTTAATTTTTTCTAGTTTCTACCACACCCCCATCTAGTGCTGAGGTTAAGAGTGAGTAGGAGCTATACCTCCTCTCCTCCCAAGCACCTACATGGCATATAGTGAAACAGCTTTACTTAAATTCTTATACATTTTTGAATTTCTCTTAAGAATTTCATGTTTTAAGTTTGATTTTATCTCTAGTTTTTAATGTCCACCCATGTCCGGCTCCATGTGAAAGTGTTGATATTGCTTGAACTTTATAAAATTTTAGTGTCTCCAGTCTTATCTTTCCTTGTAGTGTCTTTTGTATTTTTCTGTACTGTACTACATATAGCTTGAAATTTGTATTACTTATTACTGTTGTCCTTATAAAAGCAATATTTTTTTATCACATCCTAAGTAATTTAAGTGTGAGACCCATTCAAGAATGAAGTTATTAATTTCTTTCTTTCATTTTCTTTGTATTGCAGTATACTGTATGCAGTCTAATTGGTTGTGCATCACACTAACATACCACTAAACTGTTCACTTGAGAGTTTAAGTCCATCTGCCAACCCTGTAGTATGGGGGTTTAAATTCCCTATTATCATATAGTAGAGGTTAACCCAGATACTTATAGAATGTCTCTGAATTGTGAATAATATCAGTATAAATACTTAACATTCAGGTACCACTTAAAGCTGATATTCCTTCACAAATGTTCATGTTGAATTAAAGTGATTCTACCAGCCTGACTTTTAAAAAATCTCATTGAACTGAACTAGTTTTAATTATTCAAATGTCATTTTGATATTTATTTTCATACAAAATGTTAATGCTGACATAAAGTGCGATCAAATGATTGTCCAGTACTGAAACCTGCATTTTTTTTTATAAATTTCTCGAACTACAGAACAAAAATTTTAATTAAATATTATAAGGCTCACATTCATGCTATGACAATGAATTATTAAATATCCAGGATATAAACATGACCTTTTAGGAATTTCTTGGAACTGTAAAACACTTGAATAAATTTCAGTCATTCATTCTCCATTTAAAGCTTGTATTCAAGTAATTTAATTCTTTATTATTAATTATTTAAAGATGTAAGGCACAATCAAACATATTCTCAAAGGCTCAAGCTTAAAGGTTCACTTACAGTTACATTCATGGTGTTTTAAATTACTTTACAAAGATGGTGTTAAGGTTGTCACTCTGCTTAGTTTATCACTACACTATGAAAATGTACAAGGCAGTGAGATATATCTCCAGTTAGATAAATTCAGTTAAACCATAATTCAGAGTAGTTATATCAAACTGATATATTGTAGCCAAATCTAGAACTATAGTTAAAATCTTTCATTTTTAAATTCACAGTTTTACAAATCATCCTAGCACTTTGTTTCTGTATAAAATATTTCACAAATCATTCAATGTCCTCTTTTTTTTCATCTTCATGGACTAGCTACAACACTGTGAGAGTTCAAATTCGTGTAAAGTATAAGAATGTTTTTAGTGTAAGATGAATTTTTTTTAAAATCAACTTCTAGTTTGAAAATATTCTTCTTTTGCAGAGCTGGATCATGGTTTTGGTGCAACACACATACTTCCATCATCTCAACTTGAGTGTCTTACATCTGAACTATTAGGATGTACAAGAACAGGAACTGAGTTAAAAAACTGTTGTGACAAACTTGGAATCAAGAATTCTTTCTGCAACAAATATGAACCTGAAAGTTTGAGCAGTGATTGTTCCAATGTGCAATGCCATTCAGAGACAAGTCTTGGAGAGCAAATAATAGCAAAGGCTCATGACCCACAACCAGCAGAACTACCTTCTATACTTCCTCTTAAACAAGAACTTGCAAGCAAACCAACTTTAAACAATGATGATATTTTGTTTGGAACGTTTAATCATGTTTATAGTCCAGTAGATAAGCTGCAGTATTTGAACCAAACTACCCATTCACTAGACAATGATGTGCTAGTTTCTGGTGTGGAAGATGGGAACAGTAGTCATATGTGTAGCATGAAAAATTTGATTTCTATGGTTTTTTCAGATGGGAGTGATATATGTCAAAGAAACTTAGTTAATAATGTTACTGAAGATATGTTTATTACACAGAAGTGTTCAAACATAAAGGATGAAATTCCTATGAACACACAGTATTCTTCTCAGCATGGGGAGAAGAGACAGAATTTCAATGAACAGTGCCAAAATGAATTGGAGCTCAAGCATTACCTTTATACACAAAATCCAGCAGTTTTAAGTAGAACATGTAATGCATTTGATGATGTTTTCAATTACGTAGGAGATATCAAAGTTCAGCATTGGTTTCAAGACTCAGTATGTGAAGTTGTTAAAGAACCAAAGGCTCATATCTTTGACACTGAAAGGCAAACTGACTTACTTTTAATGAATTTGGCAACGGAAAAGTGCAGTTCTAAATGTTCTGACAACTGTGAACGTTTTGGTATGAGAGCTAGACATGACAGTGACAGCAGAGTTCATTTTGGTAAACCAAGAAGGCAAGAATTTCATTTGAATTCTTTAGTAGATGAAGACATTGGTTCATCAAGCATAAATGTTGATGGAAGTGATAAAAGGTGTTCTGTGTCTAACATTGACAGTCATAGAGTGAATGTAGATAAATCAGATGCAGTTCTTAATTTGGAATTGAGAACCACAAAGAAGTCACTTCTTACTAGTCAAAGAAGAGAAGAAACTGATTCTGAACAATTAAAAATTTCGTCATCTCATGGGGAATTTGAAGGTTAGATTATGAGATTCATAGCTTTTGCTGTCTTATTTTATAAATTAAGTACTATAAACCAGTGATATTTTGTTTGTTTGTATGTGTGAAGTTTGGTAGAAATTGTGACTTATCACCATTCACAGGTTTCTGAAGGTAAGTTAAATAACACTTAAGTATGTCATTGCATTTCCTTGATTGTATTACAATTTCCATTTTTCAGGTAACTTTCACATCCAACCATTATTTTTATGTGTTTTGAAAGTGCTGTAAATTTTAAATACTTTTTTATTTCTTTAAATTGACTTTACATTTGATTTTAAGTCACAAAGAAATTTGTATTCTTATACATTCAGGAATTTCAGACATTAATGTAGACTCTGAAATTGCATACTGTTGATGACTGTTTGCTGGGTTGTCACACCATTTAGTCTGGTAGAAGTTTACCAACATTTCAGAGGTCCTTGCTACCTCCATCAATGCCCTGATGACAGACTACATGGTGCTACAAGCCAGAAGACAGTCATCTTTATACTTACCACTGTGAGAACCTCAAATCCTACTTTGTGTACTGTTATCTGGAATTAGACATTCAATTTGTATGGAAATTAGCTAAGTTTCTGAACTAAAAAATGGGCATTTTTTATGCCTTTTGGTATGCAAGTATAAAAGTCTGGGATTTTATTTCTCGAATTTGGGTGCATCAGTGAAAATTAGTTTATTGTTCTGTTTTAGGAAACGGTAACATTTCACATAAGATGTCCAATGTCAGCAAATCTGAAGAAAATGACAAATCAGCAGACCTGAATATTGAATGTTCTGTAGCTTCAACAGGCAAAGAATCACCAACATCATCGCTAAATACACAGTTGGAAATCCTAGAACAACATGAACAGATCAGACACATTCCTAAAGAATCAGCACGATCACTTGATCCCAAAGTAGCCTTACAATTAAATTTAGAAGTTTTCAGCATGCAACATGATGTTCTTGAGAAAAGTAACATACCTTATCCACTGGATCGGGGAAATGATTTACCTGCACCTACATCTCTGCCACATGATACTTATGACCTGAATGTGTTCAATGTTGACCTTTCAGGGAACTCAACTTATGATGACATTATCTCCATACTTAAGGTCTTGGAGCAAGAAGAAACATGTTCTGGTGAGTTCTAAGCTATGCACAGTAATTTATAAGAAAAAATATGAAAACTGATATGTAAATGCAGGAAAATATTTTTTTATTATTTTAGGTAAGAGCCAGGAGATGAGTATGTTCATGGGACATTTTCTGGATTTCAAATATGTATTTTTTAAAGTGAAGCTGTTTAGAATAGGATTTTATAAAAATGTGTGACAGTTTTTGCAAATTATAGATATATATAATGAATTGTCTGCAAAGAATGCTTTCATATACTCTGGGAAATACACTATTTCTAGTGTAGGATTCCATAAGAGTCAAAATTGTTTGAGGTCTATTTATTTAATTAAATAATTTTGGACGCAAAGTGTTATGGATGTGTAAGACTTGAGGTTCTCACAGCGGTGAATATGAAGATTTCTGTCTTCTGGGTTATTGCGCTGTGTAGTCTGGTCGATGTTAACCAACGTTTCAGAGGTCATACTGCCTCCGTCATCAGGGCGATGAATATGCCAATAGGGTGTGAGGAG